AAGAATGTTATTTAATTTCCAAATACTTGAGGTTTTCACGGAGCTATTATTGTTATTGATTTCTAGTTTGATTGTACTATGATCAGAGAACATACTTTATATTATTTTAATCCTTTTAAATTTATTGTGACATGTTTTGTGGCCCAGAATACAGTCTGACTTTATGAATGAGTCATGTGAGGATGGTGCTCTATAAATACCAATGAGATCAAGATAGCTGATGGCAGTAAGATCATCTACATCTTTACTGATTTTCTGTATGGATGTTCTATCGATTGCTGAGAGAAGTATGTTAAAATCATCAACTATGATTACAAAATTGTCTATTTATCCCTTAAATTATGACAATGTTTACTCCACATATTTTGAGGCTCTGTTCTAGACACATACACATTTATAGTTTTGTCTTCCTAAGCAATTAGCCTTCTTATCATCATGGAACATCCTTCTTTCTCTCTCAATACTATTTGCCTTGATATCTATTTTATCTGATATTAACACAGCAATTCTAATTGTAGGCTTATTGTTTGCAATACTTATGTTTTTCCATCTGTTCACTTTCAACCTAACTAAGTCTTTAAGTATAGCTCTTGTAAATAGCATGTAGTCAGGTCTTACTATTTATCCATTCTGATAATCTCTGCTTCTGACCTGGAGTGTTTAGTTCATTCATATTTGCTATAATTATTGATATGGTTGAATTTAGGTCCAGTATCTTATTTTCAATCTGTCCCCTCTGCTTCTGGTTTCCTTTGTTCCTTCATTCCTTCCTTCTCTGGATCATTTGTATGTTTTTTAGAATTCAACGTGGATTTATCAATTGGCTTTATATTTTTTATTGGTTGTTATGGAGATTAAAATATGCATCCCTAACTTTCCATTCTACTTAGAGTTAAAAATACCACTTCATATAAAATATAGAAACCTTGCAATTATACAGGGAATCCATTGACTCCCCCATATTTCTCCATATTATAGTTGTCAAATCTCTATCTATATACATCATAAACCCTATAAGACAATGTTTTAATTTGTGCTTTAAACAATTATATGTACTTTAAAGAAATTAAGAGGCTATTTTGTATTTACCTTGATATTTGGTATTTCTGATGCTCTTTATTCAGATTCACCACATTTCTCAAAACTAGTTGAACAAAGATTACCAAAGCACATAAACCATTTGGCCCACACCTGCCATGAATGCATAAATTACACATTAAAATTACCCCCAATTTTTTCTATTAAGATCGTGACAGTTAAAACAATATCACTTGGCACTAATGTGATTGTAAACAAAATTTAAATTCAGGCATTGGAACTGAGTGACCAAACGGGTGATATGGTAAACTGGCTACAAGATAATTCAAAATATACTTACATTGCTTTTTCAGATTATAAATTGAAATAAAAACATATATTAAAATTTTTGTTCAGAAATCTCACATCAAAGTATGAAAATCTCTTCAATAAGGAATAAAAATGCCAGGGAATATTTTCAACTCACTTTTAAAAGTGCCTGAATCTGAGTATTTTTGAAGTAAACACAGGATGTTAAGGCATTACTGTGGGCATGTCTGAAAGAAAAAAAGGAAAAGCATCTGTCTCTTTCCCTTTAAGTAGAAGAGGGACACAGGAATATTTGGAAAGTTACAGAATCCATAAGAACTGAGAATTAAGCTGACTTTAGATAATGTCAAATATTCATTCATTCAGCAAACATTTACTGAGCTCTGTTCTGTGCCAGACACTGAGCTAAGAAGTAGGGACTTAGACATCTTCAAGAGCATCACAGTCTTAAAGGAGACACAAACAAAAACTCAAATATTATTATGAGGAGAGAACTAATCAAGATTCCTGGAGGAGATGACCTATGAGCTGGGTTTTGAAGGAAAAGCAGGAGTTAGACCTTTGTGTCTGAGTATTTTTGTTTTTCTTGAGGGTGGGTGGGCAATAATAAGAAAGGACGAGAAAGAGAAGCTCTCTCAGGTGAAAATGACATTGTCAAAAACAATAATCCTAAAAGGTCATGGTCCATTTGGAGAATCACAAGAAATGTGGACAAACGGTTAGACTAGAACTATCACAAGGACATCAGGACAGGGACCCCTTTGATGTTATGTCAAGAAGGTTGAACTTCATTACATTGAGGGAAGTGGGAAGCCACTGAAGGATTTTAAGTAGGGGAGATACATGGCTTACCCAACCCTTTCTCTCTTGCCTACCTCTACTACAGAAGCTAGGAAAAAGTAAGAGCTCATCTCCCAAGCTTCCCTTGCTGTGGTACACCTTCTTACCAGTGATGTAAGAAGTACCCTAACTGGAAAGACTTCTGACAAAGATTTTGATCCTGATGAATATCCTTCTTGGCTGGCTCTTCCCCTTCCCCTCCTCCCATCCCTGAATTTGGGCATTTCGGAGCTGTGCCAGTCATCCTGCAACCATGAGGAAAAGGCCAGGATTGTCCCAGACATATCAGCAATGACATAGTGTGGATCAAGCAATGCCTGCAGCATTTCAAAGACCTCTTGCTATGAGAGAATATAAATCCCTATTTATTAATAATCCATTTTTAGGTTGGGATTACTTGAATCTGAATGTCTCCCTGACTAATAAACATTTTAAGAATTAATTTGTATTTCAGAATGATCCTAATTAGTGTGTATGGATTGGGAGGCTTGCCTGGAGGTTTATTATAAGACCTGAGCCAAGGCCCCCACCATGGGGCTGTAAGGAAGGCAGACTCCAGAGATAGTTAAAAGAATGCAGAAAGGGTAAGGAAGGGACCTGTCACATCTGGATTTCTCGTTTGAGCAACTGCAGAGGAGAGGTGTGAGGACAGCGCTACTCTCCAAACAGGGGCAGATATGGTGAGGGGTTAATGAGTTCAGTGTTCAGCTGGAGATGCCAATGGCACATCATATGAAAACAAGGAAAAGCAGTTGACTGTATCTGGAGGTCAAGAGTGAAGTGCGAATTTGAGATACAGATTTCAGGGCAACTATTATGTGGGGGTAAATGAAAACAGGAAGTATGGTGAGATCTTACAAGTAGAGTTTGAGTAGGGAGAGCAAAAATGAAGCCCAGCAAATCTATTAGGACAAAGGATTATTGGTTGCTTGTGGTTCAGGGGTGGAGGTGGTAGGGAATACAGAGTGACTGCTAACATGTATGGGGTTTAGGAGGGGGGGATCAATGTGTTTTAACTTAAATTGTGTGATGGCTGCACAACTGTGTGAATCTACTAAAAACCACTGAATTATACATTTTAAACGGGTGGACTATGCAAAACGTAAATTACATCTCAGAAACACTGTTTAAACAAGTAGGCCCATGGAAGTACCTTGGAAATACCAACATATAGGAAGGAAGAAGACCCAGTGCAGGAACAGAGGGAGCCATGGCCAGAAAAAGGAGAGAAATGAAGAGAGTATTGTTCAAAAACCTGGAAGAAAGAGTTTCAAGAAAGTATCAGGGATCAAATACAAAATAGGTCAATGAAGTTTAAGACCAAAGTATTTGATTTAACAATTCAGAAATCACTGATGAGTTATGTGTGAATGATTTTAAGCAGTAACAGCATATGCCAGGTTATACTGAGTTGAGGAATAAAGGAGAGGTGAGGAATGAGAGGTGATAAATACCCTTTTTCAGGAAACTTTTCTTGCCAAGAGCAGAGCTGGTGATATAAAGAGGGTTGTATTGTTTTCAAAAGAAGCACATATGATGTTTATGTGTTAGGGAAAGGAGTCAGCAGAGAGAGAGCAATAGAAGATAGAAGAGGAGGGGATGACTCATGGAACATCCCCCAAGACATGCAAAGAATAGGAATTCACAACATAAGCATAAAACATTAGAACAGAGGATTTTCCCCTGGACTGGGAGGGAAGTTCAAGAAGCCACTTAGGGTGCAGGGACAAGAAGTTTAAGGCTCTAACACTTGATGGCATTCATGTTCTCTGTGAGTTAGGAGTCAAAAGTTGCTGGCTGAGGGGGAAGGAGTAGGCTTGAGGATTTGAGGAGGACGTAAAATTTAGAATAGTTACTATGGGACAGGAATTTTCAAGGAAGACATTTAAAACAAGAACACATATTTCAAATACTTTTAAAAACTGTAATACAGTTCACAGCTGATAAAAATGGCCTGTGCCTAATGAATTATCTGCAAAATTATTATACTCTGCACTAAGATTTGTAATGACCACACTGAACACATGAGCAGGTTGTCACAAATCCCTGGATATTTGGTGTCTGCAGTCAAAATATAACCCAGTGAGACTCGAGCAGTGGGTCTGCAAGAGTGCAGCTTCAGAGTGAGCAGAAAGGCCCACCACTGGGCACTTTCCCCAGCTGCCTGAAGCATGACTCCTCATTCCTCCGGAGAGTGAAAAAGAAGTGATGCAGCTGTTCTGCTGTAGCTGCCAGGAAAAGAAATCAAAAGGCGATTTTTTTTTTTCTTCTCTTGAGTAGGTGCTCTCTTAAGGTGTTCAAACAACATAATGTATGTCAAAGGCCTTTGCCAACTGTCAAGTAGAACACAAACATTTTTATCGTAGCTGCACCTATTTTTATCTCTAGTTCTATATTCCTTTAAGCAATCTCAAGAACCCTTTGTTCTGATCACAGAGTTGTTGGAGCCCCGAACTCTCCATGCTTTACTTTCCTACACCTAAGGTCCAGCGATGGACGGGTGAAGGGAGGAAGCCCCAGCCCTGGGCTGCACTCCAATACCCTGAGGGCTTTCGCAAACTGATACTAAGAATTTGCGTCTGTTCTTCCGCTCCCAGTGCCCTGCATCACCGTGCATCCCAATCCGCGAGGCTGGAGTAAAGGGGTAATGGCGAAAAGGGCAAGGGGCGTTAAAAGCCTAAACGTACCTAGCCTGGGGAGTGGGCAATGCTGGGGTGGGGCGGCCGCGTAGAGGGGAGCGAGCCGGGCTACACTCTCCAAATCTGTTTAAATGTTCCCCCTGGCCCGGAGAGCTCTATCGCGGCGCGTCTTACCTCGGCTCCTTGAACGACCCGAAAAGACAGATTTCATCAGATGCCTCCCTTTCTGGAGCTTGCAGTGCCAGCAGCAGAAGACGACGATCGTGGCGATGGTGCCCAGCAGAAGCAACAAGAGGAAGAGGGCACATTGGATGCTGCAGGGTCTCAGCAGGACCAGGAAAGCCGCGGAGACCGTGGTGCGGGCGAGGCGGGGGCAGCTCGGCAGCGGGGCTGGAGGGCGGCGGCGCAGGCACCCGCACGGGGCGCACGATCCAGCGGCGAGGACGGGCGAGCGCGACTCGGCGTGTCAGGCGCCGCGATCGCGACCCCGCGTGCAGCCCAATGGCTGCGCAGCCCGCGCCAGCCGCGCTGCGCCGGCGATCTAGGGCTGCGAGAGCGCCCTCCGTGACTCAGCAGAGGGCGGCCTGGCGGAGACTGGGCGGCGGGGAGCCGCTCCCCTCCCTCCCCAGGCGCTCTGGACCCCGTCCGGGCGCAGCCCGCCGGAGACGCGGCGGGCTGGGAGGAGCAGCGAAGCCGGGCGCACGTGGGTCGGGGCGGGGACGTGGCTCCCGGACTGCAGTCGCGGCGGCCCGAGGGGGGTGGGACTGGGCGCCGCGGCGGGGGGCTCAGCTGATGACATCACGGCCGGGCTGCAGCAGCGCGGGCCCGCGGACGTCGCTGCGGCGGTTCGGCGGCGGCCGCGGGCTGCGCCCGGGCCTGAGCACCCAGAGCCCCCCCGAGGGGCCGCCCGCCAGTACGCGCGCCAGCGGGTCCACACGCAGGGCGCCTGTCCCCGGACAACTGGGCTTTCCCCCACTGCAGCCTCTTGGCCGAATTGCTGGGGATCCCGGCGACAGGGGGGGCCACGGAGCCGGGGGAAAAACCGTAAGGAGCTGGCGGGAGCCTCCAGGCGGTGCTACCCACCTCCCGCCTCCCCGGGCACCGCCCCGAGGCTGGGGCTTCGGAGGATGCAGCTGGGTGAGCTATTGCTTGCGGGGGTGTTCCTCCCACGCTGAAGCGTGAACACCGGGCAGGGCCTTCTCTGGGAACTGGGGTTCTACGGGACCGGGAGGCCCACCCCTTTCCAAGCCTCTCTAAGCTGGGAGCCTCCCCCCAACCCCAAGTAGAACGCTTCGGGCTGCGGACACGAGCTGCTCCACACTCAAACTTGGCGCTGTTTCGCAGCCAAGAAACGGACACTTGAGGTCCTCTTGCAGCCTTGCGTTGACCGTAAACCTTGCCTCAGTTCGTACATTTGAAGGGAGAGGCAATTTCAGATGTGGGGAACTGACAGACGAAGGGAGTTGGAGCTTGGCTTGTAAATATCTTGAAAAGAAATTTTTTTACGGAGCCAGAGAAAATAATGGTCTGCCACACTCAAAACGCACACACTCCCTCTCACCCCCTGCCATTTTTTCATAACCAGCAAGTGTATTGTAGCTGCCGACCGGGATTTTACAGTGGTCACCGGTGCAATGCCAGCGTTTCAAGCACGGCGGGAGCGCGGCAGTGCCTCAGGGCGGACGGCCACCGCCACGGGTCCGGGACGCCGCTGCGGCACCGGTCTGCGGCATCTGGCGGCCGTGGCCGACCGGGTGCCGTACTGCGATCCGCCGCTCCCGAGGCAGTGCTGCCTTTCCCTGTGTGGGGCTGGTTTTCGCTGGTTTGGTTCTATTTATTCTCATAAAAGAGCTGCAGTTATTGCGACAAGGTCACACATTACTGCATTTGTGGAGTTTCTAGTAACTACTTAGGTGGAATATTTTCTGAGACTGAAGAAATGGTGTCATAAAAAAGTAATTTGTAAAATTTTGTAAAGCCGTTTAAGAATCAATGACAATACTTTTCTTTCTTGCTGGTAGGCTCTCAAAATGGGTGTTGTTTTCTGACTACAAAATCAAGTGCAGGGCTCTGCATAAAAGCTTAACCATTTGCATTGATGTTCTTCAGACCTTTAGCATACCACCATGTGTAAGCATTAAAGGAAATCCAAAAGGCATTGCCTCATGCGTTTCTTAAATACCAGATTTACAAACATGGGAAACAATAGATTAGGTTTTCTTATGCACGACTTGTTTCCTGAAACAAACATTCAAGTTGTTGACATGTTGCATCTCGTTCAGTTTATTTTCGTTTAAAGATGGAAGGACCTTGCAGTTGCTAAGGTGGGAATGTTGACTGTCAAGAGTGTAGGCTGCCCTGCAAGTCACAATAGGCTCATAGGTCCTTGGCGCTCAGGGGCTGACAGGTTGCGCTGCTCAGAGGTTTCCTGACCCTGCAGCCCACTGCGGGGAGAGGCTGTATTCCTGTTCATTGCGCTGGGGTTATTGAAGAGAATCCTGAAAACCTGCAATGTGTGGTGTATCAGGAAAGGTAGAATTCTTCAGCGCATTGATTCAATGTAGCCTGGTAACTGAAAACAACAGAACTGAATTAACCTTCTGCAAACACTGGAAGAAATAACTAATCGAATTTAGGAAGATTATCTTTATACTACTTCCAACTGACTACAATTTATTGAGTGAGCTGAAATGGCCTCAATAGCTTTGAAACATGCCTAAGACCACAAACACAGCATGTAACCAATTTGCCCCAAACTCTGGATTTTTAACAAAAAAGCAACTAAATAGCAATTATGGTTCTCTGAACTATTACTCTATTACTTCAGCACAATTGTTATCATCCTGAGTCCTGCTGCAGCCATTTATAAGTTTCAAGTGCACACAGTAACATCATTTATCTTTCTTGGCAGGCAAATGCTTAACTGCCAGGCAGTAGGATTATAGATATTTCTTTTTAGATGCACTTATTTCTGTACTTTAGATCAGTTATCCCAAGGATACTAATAATAAGGAAACCAAATCATTGCAAGAATTTAGTATTAGGTTCCATTGTTATTTTCTGTTGTTTTGGGGGTGTTATTTTTTTGTGTGTGTGAATTTATCGCTTCCTTCTCCAAATGACGTTATTAATTGCTTCTTTGTTTTTATGTGACATTAACCCATTGTGGAAATTAATAAATATTAAGTTGGCCAATCAATCCTTTTTAGATGTTAATTCAGTAGAATGTATGCCTTTTCCTTTCTGTTAGGTTTTCATTAAAAAATCATAATTGACATTGTATCAAAGTCACAAAAACATTGAAAGTTTGGGGGTATGGATGGAGGAGGAAGGTCCATGGCCAAATCTTTCAAGAAATGAAAATCAAGATGGAAATGTATATATAATTTTTTGACTTTTTGTGATCATGAGTTAGCACTGTCACCCAAGAGAAGACAAATGAGTTGGGAAAAATAATGAAGAACCTTTGGTGTCAGGTATGTGGAAGATGACCCTCCTTCCCTTTGTGCTGTCAACTCAACTGAACACACATGAGGAACCAAAGGGAAAGTAAAATATTCACTTTATTCAGGGTAAGTTCAGATTGAAGAGAATGGCTTAGTGAGTCAAGGCCAAAATGGGATGTCACTCCTTTTCCCTGAATTCTCCATTCCCACCCAGTCACAGCTGAACAACTACAGGCCTTCTCAACACTAGGGCAACAAGAGACCCTTCCCCTGCTGTTTCTTACCTAAAGACCAGAGGCTAAAAAGGGCCTGACCATCTTCAACCCACAAGGCATGCAGCGTGAGTGAGCAAGAGACAGGGCCATACATGAGGAGGGACCTTCTGCACATCAGGCCTGCCCTGAGTGGCTAGCAGGCCCTCCCCAGTTTCCCTCATCACTGAGTCATTCATGTCCCAAAGAGAAGAGTAAGGGGCTTTAATAAAATGGCAGACACATCTCCTAGAAGTGTATAAATTAGGAAATTGTGGCATAAATTCCTAATTTATGGGTCACAAAGAAACCACTAGAAAAGAAGCCTCCACCCTAAGCTATATAGCATCCAATTGAGGGAAAGGGAGGAAATGAGAATGACAAGTTTTGAGCTAGGGTGCAGGGACAGTTTTGAAGGAAATGACAAACTAAGTTTGAGACCCATTCAGGTGGAGATGTTAGAAGGACATCCATGTGAAATTATCCAGGAAGCCCATGGAAAATATGGGTGGGGCAGTCAGAACCAGGGACAGACTGGGAGCCATCGATCTAAATTACAGTTGAAGCCATGGATATGGATGAAATGACTGAGTAAGAGTAACTGCAGAAACAATTGGGATCAGAACTTTGGAGATGACTTCCATTTGTGGGCTGGAGAAGGAGAACAGAAGGCAAGATGATGGAAGCCAAGTGGGACGCCTTCCAGTTTGGTGGCTTTTAAGGACAGACACATAAATGAGGTTTAGGAGGATGAAGACTGAGGACTGGTGACTGGTCCACCTCTGGAAACCTTCCAGGGAGCTGATTCATTGTAGTGGGAGAGGCTAAAACCAGACACTAATGGATTGAAGACAGAATAGGAGGGGAAACAGAGGAAAGAACTCTGTCCACAATCTTTAAAGATATTTAACTCTAAAAGTGATGAGCAGAAAGGCAGCTAAACCCTGAGCAAAGGCCAATAATGGTTGTTTCATCAATATACGTTCCTGAACAATTTTCTGAGGACCCTGGGAAAAGGAACCAGCCGTGGGAGAGAAAGTAAGAGTTGGAGAGAGGGGAGAAGAAGGAATTCTCCTGGGCATTCGTGGTTTAATCGTATTAACATGCCTTGAGTCCCCCAGGCTGGCTCCTCCTGCTCTCGGTCTGCTTTTGACCCTGCAGAGTTAAAACTGACCCTGACTAGTTCTGATGGCTCCCTGCCCATAGTCTTCTCCCACCAGCCCTGGCTACTAATACTCGGAATAGAAGAATGATTTCTGGGCAAAGAGAAGGAAAACCTTGGAATGTAGCCCAGGTTGCCTGTAAGCTTTTATAACAAACCCATATGGAAGTAAGTATACTACCCAAGCCGTAATCACACAAGAACATTACCTTGAAATATTATCTCCTTAAAAAGAAAAAGCTTAGGTAAGAATGGTGATAGCAATAAATGAGTAGAAGTAAATCATACTGATTTGGGGCTGGTAATCTACTTGTTCCCAACTGAAGTTCTTTACTCACAGAATTAATTAGCATGGAAGGATTTGAAAGGAAACTAAGGAAATATATGGCCTGTTTATTTCATGACAGTATAAGACCAGGCCATGTGCTAACAATACACATGTTCTTGTATGGAAGGTAAGGAAACTATGTACTCTGGAGGAACCTACATCATCTAATGTAATCTTGGAGGTGATTTCTAACCGCCAGAATCAGGGGAGCCATCATGTGACTGGATCAGAACTGCCTTTTTAAAATTTGAGTTTTTGAAGGAACAATAATTAGGTTCAATAATATTAAGTATTATTTTCAGCAAATATTCCCTGGAAAAGGGCTTTATGCTCATTTTATCATAATAAAAAATTTTAAAATAACTGAAAGGCAGCATTGGAAGAGAAAATACTTCAACTGGAATAATTCCAAATTGTTCTTGTAACAGTTAAGAAATTTTAGAGCCTGATTAGGATCTGTTGCCCTATGGGTTGTGGAATTCCTGAAACTACTGTGGGGGGAAAAATGTTCTTTCTTGTGAGCATTACAGACTTCCCAAAATAAGTCTGCTGAGTTTGAAAGTTTAAAACATCAGTGTAATTGAATTCATCTACTCCATAATGCTTTGCAGACAGTTTTTGGAAAGTAATCATCTATTATCCACAAGCAAATAGAATTCATTAATATAGTTTTCCACAGAGTGTGGGATTAGTCATACAGCAAAATACTGAGTCATCTGGCTAGAAAATGTACTCATAGTTGTATGAACTGCCAGTGGAAAATTTGAGATATGTTCATAAATCACATTTTAAAGCTCTTAGAGTTATAAATCACTGGGCAGCATTGTTCATTATTATTCACATAGTGTAAAATGTGTCCACCATTTCTAAGAATGGGCAATTGACAAAGCAAGTTTGAAAGCTGAAGTTATTGCCTTCTAGATGCAAGGGAATAGTTGTTGTGTAAGTTGAAAGCATTTCTACATTCTTAAAACAGAAAAAGGTAAAGTAGGAGGTTTATAGTTGCATAGTGAAAATGTGATGATTTGAATAAAAACCTCACTAATGTTTATGAATTAAATTCCAGGCTATCTTAATAAAATCACAGCAACATTTAACAGCTAACATTCCTCCATTTTGTACAGTAATTAATTTCTTATAGGACTCTTGCATGAAATATTTTGTGGTTATAGATTTGTATGCTAATGCATCAGCATATAAATAGAAAGAATGCCACTAAAAGAACAGAGGTAGNGGGGGGCTCAGCTGATGACATCACGGCCGGGCTGCAGCAGCGCGGGCCCGCGGACGTCGCTGCGGCGGTTCGGCGGCGGCCGCGGGCTGCGCCCGGGCCTGAGCACCCAGAGCCCCCCCGAGGGGCCGCCCGCCAGTACGCGCGCCAGCGGGTTCACACGCAGGGCGCCTGTCCCCGGACAACTGGGCTTTCCCCCACTGCAGCCTCTTGGCCGAATTGCTGGGGATCCCGGCGACAGGGGGGGCCACGGAGCCGGGGGTTAAACCGTAAGGAGCTGGCGGGAGCCTCCAGGCGGTGCTACCCACCTCCCGCCTCCCCGGGCACCGCCCCGAGGCTGGGGCTTCGGAGGATGCAGCTGGGTGAGCTATTGCTTGCGGGGGTGTTCCTCCCACGCTGAAGCGTGAACACCGGGCAGGGCCTTCCCTGGGAATTGGGGTTCTCCAGGACCGGGAGGCCCACCCCTTTCCAAGCCTCTCTAAGCTGGGAGCCTCCCCCCAACCCCAAGTAGAACGCTTCGGGCTGCGGACACGAGCTGCTCCACACTCAAACTTGGCGCTGTTTCGCAGCCAAGAAACGGACACTTGAGGTCCTCTTGCAGCCTTGCGTTGACCGTAAACCTTGCCTCAGTTCGTACATTTGAAGGGAGAGGCAATTTCAGATGTGGGGAACTGACAGACGAAGGGAGTTGGAGCTTGGCTTGTAAATATCTTGAAAAGAAATTTTTTTACGGAGCCAGAGAAAATAATGGTCTGCCACACTCAAAACGCACACACTCCCTCTCACCCCCTGCCATTTTTTCATAACCAGCAAGTGTATTGTAGCTGCCGACCGGGATTTTACAGTGGTCACCGGTGCAATGCCAGCGTTTCAAGCACGGCGGGAGCGCGGCAGTGCCTCAGGGCGGACGGCCACCGCCACGGGTCCGGGACGCCGCTGCGGCACCGGTCTGCGGCATCTGGCGGCCGTGGCCGACCGGGTGCCGTACTGCGATCCGCCGCTCCCGAGGCAGTGCTGCCTTTCCCTGTGTGGGGCTGGTTTTCGCTGGTTTGGTTCTATTTATTCTCATAAAAGAGCTGCAGTTATTGCGACAAGGTCACACATTACTGCATTTGTGGAGTTTCTAGTAACTACTTAGGTGGAATATTTTCTGAGACTGAAGAAATGGTGTCATAAAAAAGTAATTTGTAAAATTTTGTAAAGCCGTTTAAGAATCAATGACAATACTTGTTTTCTTTCTTGCTGGTAGGCTCTCAAAATGGGTGTTGTTTTCTGACTACAAAATCAAGTGCAGGGCTCTGCATAAAAGCTTAACCATTTGCATTGATGTTCTTCAGACCTTTAGCATACCACCATGTGTAAGCATTAAAGGAAATCCAAAAGGCATTGCCTCATGCGTTTCTTAAATGCCAGATTTATAAACATGGGAAACAATAGATTAGGTTTTCTTATGCACGACTTGTTTCCTAAAACAAACATTCAAGTTGTTGACATGTTGCATCTCGTTCAGTTTATTTTCGTTTAAAGATGGAAGGACCTTGCAGTTGCTAAGGTGGGAATGTTGACTGTCAAGAGTGTAGGCTGCCCTGCAAGTCACAATAGGCTCATAGGTCCTTGGCGCTCAGGGGCTGACAGGTTGCGCTGCTCAGAGGTTTCCTGACCCTGCAGCCCACTGCGGGGAGAGGCTGTATTCCTGTTCATTGCGCTGGGGTTATTGAAGAGAATCCTGAAAACCTGCAATGTGTGGTGTATCAGGAAAGGTAGAATTCTTCAGCGCATTGATTCAATGTAGCCTGGTAACTGAAAACAACAGAACTGAATTAACCTTCTGCAAACACTGGAAGAAATAACTAATCGAATTTAGGAAGATTATCTTTATACTACTTCCAACTGACTACAATTTATTGAGTGAGCTGAAATGGCCTCAATAGCTTTGAAACATGCCTAAGACCACAAACACAGCATGTAACCAATTTGCCCCAAACTCTGGATTTTTAACAAAAAAGCAACTAAATAGCAATTATGGTTCTCTGAACTATTACTCTATTACTTCAGCACAATTGTTATCATCCTGAGTCCTGCTGCAGCCATTTATAAGTTTCAAGTGCACACAGTAACATCATTTATCTTTCTTGGCAGGCAAATGCTTAACTGCCAGGCAGTAGGATTATAGATATTTCTTTTTAGATGCACTTATTTCTGTACTTTAGATCAGTTATCCCAAGGATACTAATAATAAGGAAACCAAATCATTGCAAGAATTTAGTATTAGGTTCCATTGTTATTTTCTGTTGTTTTGGGGGTGTTATTTTTTTGTGTGAATTTATCGCTTCCTTCTCCAAATGACGTTATTAATTGCTTCTTTGTTTTTATGTGACATTAACCCATTGTGGAAATTAATAAATATTAAGTTGGCCAATCAATCCTTTTTAGATGTTAATTCAGTAGAATGTATGCCTTTTCCTTTCTGTTAGGTTTTCATTAAAAAATCATAATTGACATTGTATCAAAGTCACAAAAACATTTAAAGTTTGGGGGTATGGATGGAGGAGGAAGGTCCATGGCCAAATCTTTCAAGAAATGAAAATCAAGATGGAAATGTATATATAATTTTTTGACTTTTTGTGATCATGAGTTAGCACTGTCACCCAAGAGAAGACAAATGAGTTGGGAAAAATAATGAAGAACCTTTGGTGTCAGGTATGTGGAAGATGACCCTCCTTCCCTTTGTGCTGTCAACTCAACTGAACACACATGAGGAACCAAAGGGAAAGTAAAATATTCACTTTATTCAGGGTAAGTTCAGATTGAAGAGAATGGCTTAGTGAGTCAAGGCCAAAATGGGATGTCACTCCTTTTCCCTGAATTCTCCATTCCCACCCAGTCACAGCTGAACAACTACAGGCCTTCTCAACACTAGGGCAACAAGAGACCCTTCCCCTGCTGTTTCTTACCTAAAGACCAGAGGCTAAAAAGGGCCTGACCATCTTCAACCCACAAGGCATGCAGCGTGAGTGAGCAAGAGACAGGGCCATACATGAGGAGGGACCTTCTGCACATCAGGCCTGCCCTGAGTGGCTAGCAGGCCCTCCCCAGTTTCCCTCATCACTGAGTCATTCATGTCCCAAAGAGAAGAGTAAGGGGCTTTAATAAAATGGCAGACACATCTCCTAGAAGTGTATAAATTAGGAAATTGTGGCATAAATTCCTAATTTATGGGTCACAAAGAAACCACTAGAAAAGAAGCCTCCACCCTAAGCTATATAGCATCCAATTGAGGGAAAGGGAGGAAATGAGAATGACAAGTTTTGAGCTAGGGTGCAGGGACAGTTTTGAAGGAAATGACAAACTAAGTTTGAGACCCATTCAGGTGGAGATGTTAGAAGGACATCCATGTGAAATTATCCAGGAAGCCCATGGAAAATATGGGTGGGGCAGTCAGAACCAGGGACAGACTGGGAGCCATTGATCTAAATTACAGTTGAAGCCATGGATATGGATGAAATGACTGAGTAAGAGTAACTGCAGAAACAATTGGGATCAGAACTTTGGAGATGACTTCCATTTGTGGGCTGGAGAAGGAGAACAGAAGGCAAGATGATGGAAGCCAAGTGGGACGCCTTCCAGTTTGGTGGCTTTTAAGGACAGACACATAAATGAGGTTTAGGAGGATGAAGACTGAGGACTGGTGACTGGTCCACCTCTGGAAACCTTCCAGGGAGCTGATTCATTGTAGTGGGAGAGGCTAAAACCAGACACTAATGGATTGAAGACAGAATAGGAGGGGAAACAGAGGAAAGAACTCTGTCCACAATCTTTAAAGATATTTAACTCTAAAAGTGATGAGCAGAAAGGCAGCTAAACCCTGAGCAAAGGCCAATAATGGTTGTTTCATCAATATACGTTCCTGAACAATTTTCTGAGGACCCTGGGAAAAGGAACCAGCTGTGGGAGAGAAAGTAAGAGTTGGAGAGAGGGGAGAAGAAGGAATTCTCCTTGGCATTCGTGGTTTAATCGTATTAACATGCCTTGAGTCCCCCAGGCTGGCTCCTCCTGCTCTCGGTCTGCTTTTGACCCTGCAGAGTTAAAACTGACCCTGACTAGTTCTGATGGCTCCCTGCCCATAGTCTTCTCCCACCAGCCCTGGCTACTAATACTCGGAATAGAAGAATGATTTCTGGGCAAAGAGAAGGAAAACCTTGGAATGTAGCCCAGGTTGTCTGTAAGCTTTTATAACAAACCCATATGGAAGTAAGTATACTACCCAAGCCGTAATCACACAAGAACATTACCTTGAAATATTATCTCCTTAAAAAGAAAAAGCTTAGGTAAGAATGGTGATAGCAATAAATGAGTAGAAGTAAATCATACTGATTTGGGGCTGGTAATCTACTTGTTCCCAACTGAAGTTCTTTACTCACAGAATTAATTAGCATGGAAGGATTTGAAAGGAAACTAAGGAAATGTATGGCCTGTTTATTTCATGACAGTATAAGACCAGGCCATGTGCTAACAATACACATGTTCTTGTATGGAAGGTAAGGAAACTATGTACTCTGGAGGAACCTACATCATCTAATGTAATCTTGGAGGTGATTTCTAACCGCCAGAATCAGGGGAGCCATCATGTGACTGGATCAGAACTGCCTTTTTAAAATTTGAGTTTTTGAAGGAACAATAATTAGGTTCAATAATATCAAGTATTATTTTCAGCAAATATTCCCTGGAAAAGGGCTTTATGCTCATTTTATCATAATAAAAAATTTTAAAATAACTGAAAGGCATCATTGGAAGAGAAAATACTTCAACTGGAATAATTCCAAATTGTTCTTGTAACAGTTAAGAAATTTTAGAGCCTGATTAGGATCTGTTGCCCTATGGGTTGTGGAATTCCTGAAACTACTGTGGGGGGAAAAATGTTCTTTCTTGTGAGCATTACAGACTTCCCAAAATAAGTCTGCTGAGTTTGAAAGTTTAAAACATCAGTGTAATTGAATTCATCTACTCCATAATGCTTTGCAGACAGTTTTTGGAAAGTAATCATCTATTATCCACAAGCAAATAGAATTCATTAATATAGTTTTCCACAGAGTGTGGGATTAGTCATACAGCAAAATACTGAGTCATCTGGCTAGAAAATGTACTCATAGTTGTATGAACTGCCAGTGGAAAATTTGAGATATGTTCATAAATCACATTTTAAAGCTCTTAGAGTTATAAATCACTGGGCAGCATTGTTCATTATTATTCACATAGTGTAAAATGTGTCCACCATTTCTAAGAATGGGCAATTGACAAAGCAAGTTTGAAAGCTGAAGTTATTGCCTTCTAGATGCAAGGGAATAGTTGTTGTGTAAGTTGAAAGCATTTCTACATTCTTAAAACAGAAAAAGGTAAAGTAGGAGGTTTATAGTTGCATAGTGAAAATGTGATGATTTGAATAAAAACCTCACTAATGTTTATGAATTAAATTCCAGGCTGTCTTAATAAAATCACAGCAACATTTAACAGCTAACATTCCTCCATTTTGTACAGTAATTAATTTCTTATAGGACTCTTGCATGAAATATTTTGTGGTTATAGATTTGTATGCTAATGCATCAGCATATAAATAGAAAGAATGCCACTAAAAGAACAGAGGTAGCAAGTGCACCAAGGAGAATAGAGAATTGTGATGAGTAACTGATTAGCAAAAGGTGTGTCAATAACACATCTCAGAGGTTACTAAAATTATCCCACTGTCATGATATAACATAGATCTAGGAACAGAAAGAAAAGGACACCTCAAAATGTCTTTGTAGCCCACAAACACTCTTTGGAGTAAAGTGGGCCAAAATGAAACTAAATCAGAATATAATAAAGTTTATATTTCAAAGAAGAAAGCCAAAAACTAAAGCCTGTTTTGCTGGTCCTAACTCTGCTGTAGGTGTTCTTAACTTGGGTTTCGTGAACAGGCTTTTCAGGACCTGAAATTATATGTAAAAATATGGGTCTCTTTTGGGGGACTTGATCCACAGTTTTCATCAGGATCTAAAGAGGTTATTACCAAAAAAAGAGAGAGAATCAATTAGAACTATACAAATACATACAGACACCAAGGCTTCTGCAGTATCAAATTATTTTCTCAATCCACAACATTAATATCATGTAGGTACCTCTCCTGAGACTGGGAAAGGGTCTCAAGCATTGTCAGTCTAGGATGAGCTGAGGAAACTGGACTCTAATCTGCACAGGAGTTCAAGGACATCTTCCAAATGCAGGTGAATGCTGCTCCATGAGGACTAGGCGGAGACCATATGCTGTGAGTTTCCTTGTCCTTTTGTACCTTTAAACAATGGGACAGAAACAGTGAGCTCCCTAAGGTAACTGTCATTGGAGTGTCAGCTCTAACCCTGAGAAGGCAAACCTTTGTTAACCATCTGGGGCCACTTCCAGAGACTTCTGTCATTGGAAGAGCCGACCTGGTGCCTGAGCTGCCTTCAGGCCAGTGAAGTGTCCCAGTACGTATTTTGATGTTTGAATCGATAAGCCCCTCTAAGCCAAAAACTGGTCCTAAAACAGTCTTGAGCTCAGAGTCTGCAAGGATCTCCATAGTCTTAAGGCTCAGAAGAGAGGCAGAAGCACTTACTCCTAGATATCTAGATACCCAGGTGACTATAGAAACCATTCTTCCTAAATCCTGCTCCAAGCCACAGCTTATGAGGTTTTTCACACCCAGTGCTCAGCTTATCTACCCATTATCTCTAGCTTTCCACGCTTGCCATACTTGTGAACCTCAACTCCACTTCCTCCACCATTTTCTCAGGACACTAGGTCTTAACTTCCTATCACTGTGACCATACTCTGTGACTCTCACTCCAGTGGGTAGGTCCAGTTTCCAGGGGTGTCCTGATCTCTCAGTCTGGCTGGTTCTCGTTCCTCCAAGTTCCCTTCTGAGCCTCTAGGCTCTGAAGGATTTAATGGCGCAACATTCATGCATTTCACACAGAGACAGACTTTGAACCAATACCATTCCCTAAGTTTCTCAGACCCCCCAGGTCTAGCAGGCACTATTATTTGTAGTTTTGTTTTGTGGCCATTTGTAATGAGGCAGGAGTCCATCTTGAGAAGATACTGTAGGACTGCAGTTAGTGTTCCAGACCCCCTGGGGATCTACCATCTGTGAGCTGTTGAAGTCTGGGTTGTCTTTGTGCCTGGATTAAGGGGCAGCAGTACCCTTGGTTGGCAATCATCCACTTCTCCCTCTCCCTCAAAGGCCATGGGACAACATGTCCTGGGCTTCCTCGTTACGGAACAGCTACCTCGGTGTGGACCAGCGTGTTGTTTTCAGTAATAGCTAACGCTTATTATCCACTTTCTGCTAAATGCTTTACATACATTTACTCATTTAATTCTCACAGCAGCGTCAGGTAGGTACCTCCCAGTTGGGATTTGCTGGACAGCTGCCTTCCTCTCTCCTGACTGTCCGTAGTCTATCCATACGCAGAGGAGTGAGGACCAACCCAACAGCTGATGAGCTGTGCTGGGCACACAAGAGACCTGGTCCTCTCCTTTCGCCTGTGAGGAATTTGTCTACACCATCTCCTCTAATCTTTCAATCTAATAAGACTCCTTTCATTAAAAAATTATAGATCCTTGGTAATGGTTACATCAGTGTATATACATATCAAAGTTCATCAAGCTGTATACTAAGATTCATGCATTTTGTTATATGTAGCTCAATATAAAATAAAATTGTATTAACAAAAAAATTATAGATCCATTCCTACCATTTCGTTGCCATGGCCCCACCAGTATCACTTGGGTAAATATGACCCAGTACCTCCAGAAGTTGAACAAGTGTAGGGGGCCAGGCAGAGCACCACTGTGGAAAAAGACCTCTATTACTACCAGGCTGTCCTTCATAAAAAAAAATTTTTATGTTTTTAAAATTGAGACAATTTTAATACAGCATCATAAGCATCCAGGTTATTTAATGATGTTTAACATTCTGCTCCTCCCCACTGTGCTTGATCTAAGCTGGTATGAGGGGGATTTGGGTCTTTCTCCTTCAGTTAGTAATAAAAATACTACTATTAAAAGCTAATATGTTATTAATATACTTAACATATCAACTCATGATGGGGTACTTATCATTCTATCACAGATGGGGAACAGGCACAGAAATATTACCTGGGTACTAAGTACTGGATCTATGGCTATGGACCCAGTATGATCCTAGAGCCTGTGGTTGTAACCGCTTCTATGACGCTGCTTCATCATCTAATATATTTGGAAGAGATTCCGACTGTAAGACTATTCAGGCTACCTACATAGCAAGACTTTACCTCTACCAAAAGAAGAAAAGTATTTCACTAAGCTGTCTATTCTTTGGTAGGACAGGTTTAGCCTTTCCCCTCTTTCTGTGAAAGGATGTACATTTGCCTGAGGTTCTCTCCCCTGCTGGCTGTTTGAGCAACTTCTCTACTATAGAATCATGGGCTCACAACATTGTCCCAAAATGTCACCACTGCTGAGTCCCATGTTCCTCTCAGTCTTTAACACTACTGAACTTTGAGCTTGGTTTCCATACTTTGAATTCACTGCACGCATCTATGCTTCCTTCCTTCCATATAACTTTCTAGGCTTCAGCTGGATTAAATAGGTCCATTCCATCTCCTTAGGCTTCCTTCTTTGATCACTACTTGCATGCCCATCCTTACCTAACTTCTTGGTTCTCACTTGCCCTGCAGGTCCCCTCACCCAAGCTTGGCAATGCAGGTACAGAGAGAAGATGGCCTTTTACATTCCCTTTCATTCTTATTATTCTATGAATTTACTGACAGGAAAATACTGTAGCTCATAAATATATGAATGTATTTTTCTAATGACCTATACATAGGAGGTAAAGAAGCATCTTGATAAGAATGTGAAATGTAGCTTATTGTTGTTTTTTAAAAATGTTAATGTTGCTTCAACATGGTATGAAAGAAGAGTAGAGCGAGAAAATTATTGGTAGTAGGTGAGGAAGCAAGCTACGTAAGATGACTAGGTATATTATCTGCAATGCGTCACTCAGCACATTAATTATGTTTAGACCTAAACTTTTGAAACTATAAAAGTACAAAATTAATAGAGATATTGGTAGATGGTAACCACATTATATTAGTATGTCATATTAATATAGGGTATAATGGGGCAGATATTTCAAAGAGAAATTTGCTTGTCCTTGCATGTTATAGTTGATAAGATAAATTAGTATTGGAAAGTTGATTCACTCCTCATTTTTATTCATACACACTGATTCTTACATCAGAATTATCACATTTTGTGAATTTTAAAAATTGGCCTGAATTTACGAATGTTATAGAATATGATTACTTAGAGCAAAAAGCATAATGATCTCACCTTGTCCTCAACTTTCAAAATGAATAGAATGTTCTACATTAATCGAGAAAATGTGAAGTGGAAGATGATTTACATGATGTATAGTTATCTTAAAAATAGAACTTTTAATTGATTCTTACTCTTCTTTAGGCTTAACTCTGCATCTGTGTTTCTGACAAATGGGGAAAAGGCACATAAATATCAAGAGCTGGGGGTGGGGGGAACAAGTAGTAACAGAATAGTAGCCAAGGAAAAAATACTCACAAAAACTGCTATTTCTGAGAAAAGATTCTGGCTGCCCTTGAACCGTAGGAAAACTTGCCGAGTCCCTCTGAGTTCTGCATATATTTTTCTCATGCAAAGTTTCAGATAGCTCCACACATGACATAGACAATAGGTGCATTGTGGAGCAGATGAAGATTGTCTCCCACTGTTCCCAGCCTCTGCTTTCTGTGCTGTTACCTCTCTGCTGTAGAAGTCTTCTTCCTGAACACACCAAGATGAAAGTAAGCCAGTCGCACTGCCTAATTACAGTTAAGACAGAGGCTGAGTCATTTAGCACCTAGCTTTCTTGCCAGCTCAGGAGCACCATAAAGAGTGTAGTAAGATGATGAAGCTAACATGTGTGGCTGTCTCTTAGTCCATTCCGGCTGCTATAACAAAATACCTGAGACTGAATACCCTACAAACAACAGAAATTTACCTCTTACGGTTCTGGAGGCTAAAAGTCCACGATCAGAGTGGCAACGTGATTGGGTTGTGGTGAAGGCCCTCTTCCAGGCTGCAGACTGCCAACTTCTCTTTGTGTCCTCACATGGTCAAAGGGGCTAAGGATCTCTCTGAAGCCTGTTCTTTGAGAGCACTAACTTCATCCATGAGGTCTGTCCCATCATTATCTAATGACCTCCCCAAGGACCCACCACCTAATACCGGCACCTTTGATGGTCAGGATTTCCGCATATGATTTTGGGGGAGGGGAGAACCCATTCCAATTTCCAGGTACAGGGAAGCTGGGGGGATAGTGCTCTACCTCAGGGCTAGTCAAAATGGAAATGCTACCAGCCCTAGACTCAAATGGAGAGGAAAGGAAGTGGGTATTTTCAGCCTGAAAGGAGAGGGTCATATAGATAAGGCCACTGTAAAAATCTAAGGCGACCCTACAGGAGAGGAAGGAGGAGGATAAATTCTCCTAACTCACTGTCCTCCCTCTCTCTGATCTGCTTGTACACTGCATTGGCTGAACCCAATGGGAAGAGGGCAAGGAGCCCAAATAGGCCAACCTGCAGGCTTAGGGAGCAGAGTAGAGATGGCTAAAGAAGGGATCTGGAGGGGCAAAGGGAAGATCTGCAGCCCTCGGTCTGAGCAGGACTACAGAAATAAGAAACTCTGGGTGAGCAAGTCGACTTTAGTCTTTGTGCAAAATGGGACCATAAATAAAAGTTTTATTGGAACACACTCATACTTGTGTGTTTACATACTGCTTATGGCTACTTTTGGGCTCTGAGGGCAGAGCTGAGTAGCTCTGACAGCTACTATATGAGACAATCTCCTCACTTTGTACTGTTGCTCATTGCACCACAAATCACAGTAATGCAGTTATAATAACTTGGCAGTGTTGTAGTGTTATGCATATTGTCATGCCATGGCATTTTATTTTTTATTACCAGTGCATGCCAATTATGTCAAAACAAGAAAAAAGGAAAGAAAACTGGACTTCGATTTTTTAAAGCAGAGATTGTTATCAAATTAGATGGCAAAGCATTGTGTTTATTTTAGTGACACTATAGCCGTGTTAAAAGCACATGATATCTGTCAACATTACTAAACTAAGCACTCATCACAATATTCCCAACTCAGGACAGCAACAGTCAGAAAATTCAGTAAGTTTGAAATGAAATATCTCATCACAGCAGAATTTCTACACAAAAATGAAAATGAGTCTGCAACCAAAATAAATTTCCCAGTGGTTCATTTGTTAGCCAAGCAAGGAAAGCCATTTACCAATAGTGGGTTAATTAAATAAAGCTTGATTAAAGTAGCTGAGGACATGTGCCCAGAAAAACATAAACTTACTTAAGACTATTAGCCTTTCAGCAAAAACAGTTCCCTAAAGAATCAAGGACATTGGGAGCAACATAATAATCAATTAAAAAACAAGGCAAACGAGATTGAGTTTTCTTGGCTCTTGATGAGTCAACAGATGTTATTGATACTGCTCAGTTGTTCTTGTTTATTTGGGAAATAATTGCTGAGTTTAGAGTGACTGACAAATTCGACTCTCTAAGTAGTCTGTGAAAAAACTATGAGAGAGAATACTTTCAAAGAAGTTGAAAAAATAATTCAGATTAACCTGAGGTGGAATGTACTAAGATGTGTTATAATTGATGATGGTAAAAATCTGTGCGGAGCAGGAAAAGTATTAGTTAGACAAATTTACAAAGCCTGTGAAAACATAATATTTTTAAAGCCTATAGTTATTCATTTGACTATTTGTCAGCAGGTACTTTGCAGAAAATATTTGGAACAGTTATATATGATTTATTGTTTTTTCCCAGCTCTGCCTTTCATTAACTATGTGATCATGCGGAAGTTAAATTAGCCTCCTAAGGTTGTTACATATATGTGGTTTTAAAAATACCTTTATTGAAATATTAGTCGCATACCATGCAATTCACCATTTGAAGTATACAATTCATGTGTGTGCACTTTTCTTTGTATATTCACAGGGCTGTGTAACAATTACTAACATTTTTTTAGTAAAATTCAATTTTTAAAAACATTTTTGTCCCTCCTACAAGAAACACTTTATCCATTCATCCCCCACTCTCACTCCTCCACCAATCTTTCATCCCTAAGAAACCACTAATCTTTGTCTCTATAAACTTGACCATTCCTGACATTTCATATAAATGTAATCATGCAATGTGTGGTCTTTTGTGACTGGTGTCTTCCACTCAGCATGTTTCCAAGGCTCATTTATGTGTTAACATGCATCAGAATTTAATTTCTTCTTATTGCTGAGTAATATTTCATTGACAAGACAAACTACACTTTATTTCTTCATAAGTTGATAGACATTTGGGTTTTTCTACTTTTTAACTATCATGAATATTACTATGAGCATTTGTGTATAAGTTTTTGTGTGGATGTATGTTTTTATTTCTATGCATTAATTGATGTAGGAGTAGAACTGATATGTCATTTGGTGACAATGTTTAATTTTTTAGGGAACTGCCAAACTGCCGAACTATTTTACAATCCCACTAGCAATGTATAAGGGTTCAAATTTCTGCACATATTTACCAACACCTGTTACTTTCTAGTTTTTTATTATAGACATCTTTGTGGACATGAAGTGTCCTCTCATAATAGTTTTATGTGCATTTCTGTAATGATTAATGATATTGAGCAACTTTTCATGTATTTATCAACTATTTATATATCTTCGTTAGACTAATGTCTGCTTAAATCCTTTGCTCATTTTAAAAATTGGATTATTGGTCTTTTTATTATTGCATTGTGAGAGTTCTTTATATATCCTATATACAAGTCCCTTATGAGACCTGTTTTCAAACATTTTCCATTGTGTGGTTGTCTTTTTACTTCCTTGATGATCTCATTTGTGAAAATAATGTTTTTGTTTTCATATCTATAAAATCACTGCCTCACCCAAGATGACCAAATTTACTCCCTTGTTTTCTTCTAAGAGTTTATAGTTTTAGTTCTAACATTTAGGTCTATGATCTAAATGTACACTTTTTTTAAAATTTGTGTGTATTGTGTGAATAGGATTCATTCTTTTGCATATTCATTCTTTTGCATTGTTCCAGCACTATTTGTTGCAAAGACTCTTCTTTGCTCATTTAATTCTCAGCATCCTTGTAAAAAGTCAATTGATCATAGATGCATATTCCTGGACTTTCACTTCTATTTCAATGACTTATATGTCTATCCTGATATCAGCACCACATTGTCTTAATTACTGTAGCTTTGTGTTAAAATTTGAAGTTGGGAAGTGTGAGTCATCCAAATTTCTTCTTTTTCAAGATGACCTTGGCCACTCTAAATCTCTTGTATTTCCATATAAATTTTAAGGTGGCTTTGGTAACTTCTGAAAATATTATGTATAAATGAAACAATAAAAGTATCTATGGTAAACTTCATTCTTGTGGACTTGACCTCATCAGTTCTATAAATTTTTTCAAAAAAATAGAAGTCAAGTATTCTAACTTGCCCTGCTATACAGCATTTCAATAATTTAGCAGTAGTGAAGTTTTGCTGCAAATGTTTGAGCTCAGAGCCAAGATTGAAATTTTTGTGGAGAACTGCCTTCACGTGCTCTTATGGAACACTGAATGACTAATAGAAATTAGCTTTCACTGCACATTTGATAATGTTTCTTAATGAATTCATTAAGAAATTACAAGACAAAGAGTACTTACATGCAAAACTTATATGGAGATAAAGGCATTTCATCAAGTAATCTGTGACTCATAAGTGAATGTCAAGTTGCATTATACACTTCCACCACTGTCAAAAGTTGAAACAAATGAGATGTTCATCCCCACATAGATTTGCACTGGATATATTTTTCTTTTTTCTTTTTCTTGGATATATTTTCTTACTGACATGTAGCTGATAAACAATATTAACTTCACCTGAAGTATACAAAAGAGTGATTCAAGAGTTATATACATTATTAAATCTCACCCCAACCAGTGTAATTACTGTCAACGTAAAAAGGTATCATAGAAGTACTAATTTTATTCCAGATAAAATGCTGGAATTTTATCTCTGTGACTATTTTATATTATGACTGAGATTCTGTGTCTCTATATCCCTTTCACCCATTTCACCCACCCACCCCAAGCCCTCCACAATGGTATCAGCCTCTTCTCAATGTCTATGAGTCTATTGCTGTTTTGTTTGTTTAGTTTTTAGATGCCACATATAAATGAAATCATATGATATTTGTCTTTCTCCACCTGGCTTATTTCACTGATCATAATACCCTCCAGCTCCATCCATGTTGTTGCAAATGGCAGGATTTCTTTCTTTCTTATGGCTGAACATTCCATTGTGTATATGTTCTGCCTCTTTATCCAGTCATCCACTGATGGACACTTTGGATGTTTCCATATCTTGACTATTGTAAATAATATGGCAATAAACATAGGAGTGCATATATCTTTTCAAATAAGGGATTTTGTTTTCTATAGGTAAATTCCTAGGCGAGGAGTTAATGAGTCTAATATTATTTCCATTTTTAGTTTTTGAAGAATCTCCATACTTCTTTCCATAGTGGCTGCACCAATTTATATTCCCATCAACAGTGTAAGAGGGTTACCTTTTCTCCACATCTTTGCCAATACTTGTTATTTCTTGTCTTTTCAATAGTGGCCATTCAGACTGGTGTGAGGTGATACCTCACTGTGGCTTTTTTTCACTAAGGCATTATTGATATACACTCTTAGGAAGGTTTTACATGAAAAAACAATGTGGTTACTACATTCACCCATGTTATTGTGAACCCCCATACCCCATTGCAGTCACTGCCCAACAGTATAGTAAGATACCACAAAGTCACTATTTGCCTTCTCTGTGCGACCCTGTCTTCCCCATGATCCCCCCAACACCATGTGTGCCAATCATAATACCCCTTAGTCCCCTTCTCTCTCCCACCCCTCCCCTTTGGTAACCACTAGTCCCTTCTTGGAGTCTGTGAGTCTACTGCTGTTTTGTTCCTTCCATTTTGCTTTGTGGTTATATGCCACAAATGAGGGAAATCATTTGGTACTTGTCTTTCTCTCCCTGGCTTATTTCACTGAGTGTAATATCCTCCAGCTCCATCCATGTTGTTGCAAATAGTAGGATTTGTTCTTCTCTTATGGCTGACTAGTATTTCATTGTGTATATGTACCACATCTTCTTTATCCATTCATCTACTGATGGACACTTAGGTTGCTTCCATATCTTGGCTATTGTAAATAATGCTGCAATAAACATAAGGGTGCATATGTCTTTTTTAATCTGAGAAATTATATTCTTTGGGTAAATTCCTAGGAGTAGAATTCCCTGGTCAAATGGCATTTCTATTTTTAGTTTTTTGAGGAACCTCCATATTGCTTCCCACAATGGTTGAACTAGTTTACATTCCCACCAGCAGTGTAGGAGGGTTCCCCTTTCCCCACATCCTCACCAGCATTTGTTGTTCTTCTCACTGTGGTTTTGATTTGTATTTTCCTAATGAATATCAATGTGTAGAACCTTTTCATGTGCCTGTTGGCCATCTGTATTTCTTCTTTGGAAAAATGTCTGTTTAGTTCCTCTGCCATTTTTTAATTGGATTATTTGTATTTTGGGTTTTGAGGAGTTTACAAGTTCTTTATATATTTTGGATGTTAACCCCTTATCAGAAAAATCATTTATGAATATATTCTCCCATACTGTAAGCTGCCTTTTTGTTTTCTTGATGGTGTCCTTTTCCATATAGAGGCTTTTTAGTTTGATGTAATTATACTTGTTTATTTTTGCTTTTGTTTCCCTAGCCCAAGGAGGTATGTCCAGAATAAAATTACTAATGTTTATGTTCAAGAGATTTTTGCCTATGTTTTCCTCTAAAAGTTTTATGGTTTCATGTCTTATATTTAGGTCTTTAATCCATTTCATCTTTACTTTGTATATGGTGTTAGACAGACAGTATGCACTGGATATATTTTTGATGTTCAAATTACAGTTCCAACATTGTCTTTCAGACTTCAATGCAAATACAAAGGAAATTTCCATATTTCTAAGTACATTAAACTATGCAACTGAGGAGCTTCTACAAAAGCTTAACTGGAAGTAATTAATCTGCAATGTGACAGTACAATATCAAAGAGTTTAATAGAAGGCTATAAGAGTCTACTAAGGGAGAATATGTCCAGTTAAAATTGTGATCTAGTGTTGGGAGACACGGACTTCCCTGGTTATGGCTGTAGAATATTGTGAACATACTTAATAAAACCACTGAACATACACTTAAAATGGTGAATCTTGTATTATATGAACTTTATCTCAATTAAGAAAATTACAAGCTTATGTATTAATATCAGCATATGGCTGTACATCGGTGTGAAACATATTTTCAAAGATGAATATGTAAAATCTCATCTAGGTCAGCATTAACTAATGAGCAATTGCAATTGCTTTTGATGGTAGGGAACACTTTGAACCCAAACTGAACAAGAGGTTAGTTTTTTTTTAAACTCCATTCTCTTTAGTAGAACTGTCTTACAAAAAGTTATACTCAATTATTGTTTGTATATTTTCAATTTTATGAATAAAAATTATGTAAAAATTAATATTCTCTCTTGCTAGATAAGTACCTACATAGTATCCTCAACTGTGTTTCTCTCCCTGCAAAGCCTGAAATATTTCCTATGTGACCCTTTACAGAAAATGTTTGTTGACCTTGCTCTGGGTAAATAAACTAATGATATTTGCTAGGAGTAGAATTTTTATTTATGGAATGCTCTCAGTTGTATATCTCTGATTTAGGATTGCTTATGGCAATCCTGGAATCTTTGGATTTATAACTCCCTAGAAAATGTCATGCAAGCGATACAACTCTGAGGTATTAAATGGAGCTGTGTCACAACTTAAACATTCCCCCCTGTGTGAAGTGACCCTCAAACCTCAGAGGTCTCGCCTATTATTCCAGACCACAGAGGACCTATATGATGTAAGAAGGAAGGACCTGCAAAGCCTGCAGGATGCCCTACACCTCTCCCTACTCTGCCTGTGCCTCCTGGCTGCTTGTATCTTTGAAATTATTACTGAAGTTTGATATTAACTAAATCTCTGATTTCTGTGAGTCAGATATGACAATCCAGAGCCATGTGTCATAGAAGCAATTTCAGCAACACCATCCCAAATATTATTTTATGAGTGGATTAGAGAATATGAACTTCTCTTAAAATAAGTAAAAGAACCATGTTTTCTAAAAGAAATACTTAGTGTAATTTAGTAAGGACATATGTTACATTCTGCTTAACAGTCCACATATTATTTCTTTACACTCAGTCCTTTCTGTAAAGTTTTATATTATTTAAAATTAAGTCGTTTCATGAAAAAAAAATTATGCAAGTAATAAGGATGCTAAAACCATAGCAAAGGTAAATTTCAACCCTATTTTACCTAAGAATTATCATCTGCTTTATCAATTTTGAAAACTGATTATCCCTTAAAAGTTTTATGAAATGTACTGTTGCCTTGGAGATAGTTTTACCCATTCTTTGTGGTACAATTCTTAAATTTACTTCCATCTCAAAACTTGAGAGTTTTCAGAGAAAAACAAAACAAACTTTTAAGCAATTCTTATTGACTTCCCTTTGGAATATTTTGATCCCAATTAGATCTGCTATTATTAATGTCTTTTTTCCTAAAGATATATAACTTCAGTACTCTGAAGTACTGTTGCATTAATTTATAATGTTCCCACCTTTTTCTTCAGACTCCTTATAACTGATTGACAAGAAAACCTTGTAAAAATGGAAAAAGTTTACACTATTGTACTGTAAATGACAGCTCACTGCAGGTCACATCATGGAAACTTGATGTCTTCATGGTGATGGAATTGAAAGACTGAAATCAAATGAAAATGTATACTAAAGTGGGAAGTGGGAGAAAGTATGGTAAGACACATTTACTAAAAGTGGTTTAGTTTGAGTGGCTAGTGCTATTATGAAACTTATGTTTGTATTATATACATACTTTTTATTTTTGCTTTTAAGGAAAAACATTAACTTTTGTGCTATGTCCAGAATAGCATCAGCTACATGGGTATTCCCTCCCCTACAATTTCAGAAAACCTTTAATAACTAAATGAGAAAATGCAGAAGATCTTGCAAACAGATGAATTACCAATACCCAAGCTCTTAGAAAAAGAAAGAGGAAAAGAACAGACACAATGGATTCAGAGAATGCAAACAGTGACATGGACAAAGGACAGGTTGGTGTTGTTTTTTGATAAAATTTT